TGCACAAAGATTCTAAAAAATAATGATCAGCTTTGAAGATGTTAGAAGATGAGCAAATGAGGAAAATGGACAAGGGTGCTTTGATGTTGCATTTTTTTTCCAATCATTTGAAGCAAAGTATTTAGATCTTTAGATACTGTGCAATCTAACAAAGAATTATTCAACTTATCCAAAATTATCAGCAGATTATGGTATTTTTTATTCAATAAAGGCAAAATGACCAGTAAAATGGTTTTGTGTTCACTTAAATCATTAAAATTTTTGAGCGCATATCTGTCACACTTTCTCAATTTATTTGATTAACAGAATAACATTGAGGAACCCCTGCCCTCCATCTACACCTAATTTGATATCAACATCATTTATTTCATGATATCTGTGATAAAGCACTAATAAAGTTAATAGCTCAGTTTGCAGTTTTACTTTTGAAACTTGAAATTCATGCTTGCAAGCATCATTTTTTAATGTATATTTGGAATTCACCGGTCGTGAAATGACTTTTAATTTGAACCTATTTTCCCGAGAATTTTTGTGGTTATGATAATGCATGTATGTAGGAGTACATTAGAGTTGGTTTTGAAATCTTTCATCATTGTCTGTGAAATAAAAAATTGATTTGAAATTTTCGGTTTTATTGCTCTGAAAAAGTAAGTTACATTTTTAATTGAAAACATTTGAAACTTGTTCTAACATGTTTATTCTATAAATAAGCAAGGTATACAATTTAGAAACAACAAAAAACAAAAAAGCATTCAATTTCTTCAGAAAATTTAAAAAATCAGATTCTAGCTTAACAGATCAAGCAACTTATAAAAAAGGATTATTCTTATTAAATAAAGTTCTTAATAATTGATGTTGACGGGTTATTTCTTACATATCATGTTGTAATATAGTATTCTCTACAAAGAAGTTAAAAGAAATGCATGTTGTTGTAATCAATCAAACAGTTTAGAAGATTCTTAGGGTAGTCTGGATAATTACTGGGCTTTTTGAACAGTTGTCAGTGATGGTTGAAGTCATGATATAGTGATTCTGTTGTTTGCTCTGAATAGATGCCCAGTGAGTGGTTGTGACGATCAATAAACTGAGTCACACGAAAAAAGACAGCATGCGCTTTGGGAGTGACACTTGTGTTTGAAAGTTTGAGATAAGAATTCTTTAACGAGAGTGCGATAGTTGTTTTTAAAAACATTTCCAAAGAAAACATGAATTCCAACTTTCTGAATGTGTCAATGAATGGAAATGCTAAAAAGCAATGGTGAGCATTTGAGTGAGACTGTAAATCACAAATAATGTTTGCAATCTTTATGTCACATGACAACACAAAAGCCAAATTTTCAAGGCTCAATTTGTCCATGACCTGCTTTACATTGCCATAATTTTCAGAGAGGTTTTCTGCGAGCCACCAGAAGTTGATGCTTTACTAATGAGTCGTTGAAGAGAGGTTTCTTAGTAGGGGGAGAAGCAATTGGTTGTAATTCCAAAACCCCTAGAGACACTTTTAGGAACCTTCTCCTCTATAAATTCCCACCTTGATAAGTTCATTTGACTCAGGACCTCTGATCTGAACTAAAGTGTTTCTTAGAGCTTCAACATCTTTGCAGTACACTAATTGTTTGGATTCTGGCTAAGACTTTTGGATGTGTCTAAAATTTCTGAGGTGACTAACAAGTCAGGAAGATGCTTTCCAAGTGACTCAAATTTTTCCCTGAAGCTTTTTTCAACTACTCGCTGGGGAGCTACTTTGTTAAGTGTTAAAGCAAGCTTTTTCAACCCTCTGTTTGAAAGCTGTCTAATTTTGAATTTGTAGAAGTTGTTTAGCAGTCAAGGTAGATGTAGCTGCTGGAAAATGTTCTCTTTTCTTGATGGCCCTGGAAAAAATTAAGTGTATACGACCAAAAGAAAATATTTTTTACCTGGAGTAACTGGAAGATAATTTCCTATTCCTTGACTAAGATGAACAGTATCATGGGGTGAAAGAACTTTGTTAGCTATCATAGTAGCAGCTACTCTTTCTGCTGCTTTTTTATCTTTTGCTGCAACTTCAAGCAAGTTCTGTCGAAGTATTCCTTTTGCAAAATTATGTAGAATCCCACTTTAATCTCTTCTCTAATCAATGAAACCTCTTCTTTAATCAATGAAAAGCATGCTGAACAATATTTCTTAACAACTGTTCTTTTGGTTAACTGATTGTGTTTGTTGTTCCAATCTGTTGAGGACTTCCTAACTTGACTTTTTCCACATAACAAATCATGCAACCACATTATTCTCTTGTAGAACGAATCTTTATGTTTCGGTAAACCAAAAACTTTTTGACCGCGTTTAACCATAAAGCAGGGTTGCATGGTTTTAACCAAATTGTTTAAACCATTGCTTTAAGCCATGGTTTAAACCAATTAAAAAAATGTTGGTTTAAACCAAACTAATGTTTTTTTAAAAACTTACAACAGAAAATTAAAACAGGGTTATGTTCACAAATATAACTAATCTTCAATATAGATATATTTTTTTAAATCCATGATTTTTGTTTTTGTTTTTTCATAAAATAGAGTCATCAGTGTTCTTATAGAATAGATGTATATATATATATATATATATATATATATATATATATATATATATATATACATATATATATATAATATATAACCATATATATATATGGTTAAAATATACACGAGTGACTGTTCCAGAAAGAAAAGGGTGTGGAGCAGTTATTCACCCATAAGTTATGATAATATCTCTTTCAGATGACAATAATTGTCTCATTGATTTCATATTAGCTGCATTGTCAGTCACAAAACTTTTTACTGTGCATGATATTCACCAGTATGTGAATGACCAGAAGTGTTGATTAATTCTACTAAAATGTTAATTTTATCTGTAATTACAGAGATACAAACTATAGGTTTATTATGTATATTACTCCAGCCATCTAAAGACAAGGCTACAATTTTCCCATTCAATACATTACATTTTTTAATTTCTTCTGTGTAAACTCTATCTAATATTTTTTCACCAATTTGAGTTCTATTAGGTATAGTGTTTCCTGGATGAAGCATATTGATAAATTTTTTAAATTCTTTGTGTTCAACTGTTCTGAAGCTAGAGTTGGTACTGTATATAAATCTACCAAGTTGCAGATCAAATAAATCTTTCTCTTTAAGGCTTGTTCGTGTGAAAAACTTATCAATTTTCAAATATTTATCAGCTGATGTTGAATTGGCTGAGACCTTTTCATTTGTTGTTGTGATGTTGATGGTGAGTTACCTTTAAAATGAAATTGCAGTTTATTGAATTATTCTAAATTAAAGTCTACGTGATAGTAATTTAAATATATATATTTACAGTTTAGGCAAAGTATAAAATTTTAAATGGCAATGTACTAATTTAATTAACTTCAAGAAATTGTTGATCTTCAATCGGGGTTGTGATTTCTTGCACTTTTTCACATGTTCATGCTTCCAACAACTGGAGCATCATTTTCACAATGTTTGAAAAGAATAAAGACTTGGATCCCATGATGGGTAAAAAAGTAAGTGATATACAGATAAAGCGAAACACAGAAGATTTGTTGAAAATATTAAAACCAATTGCAGTAGCTCTAGATAAGTTACAAAGAGATCAAACAAAAATAAGTGACACTCTTGAAATTTTTAAAGATTTGATTAGCAGTTTATCATTTTTATCAAACGAAAAAAAAAAAAAAATTGAATCTAGATACCTTCAGACTGTCAGTGATGCTCATTTCCTGGTAAACACACTAGATCCTAGATATTTTGGATCTAATCTTTCTTAAAATGAAAATGAAGCTGCCATGTTTTTTTTAGATAAAGAGTTCAAGATTTGTTACCAATAATATTCAAATTAAAAGCCAAATCTACTCCATTTGATAAAAGCTACTTGTATAGTGAATCTGTTTTAAAAAATGTATCACCAATAGAAAGGTGAAAATCTCTAAAAATTGTGGATTATAACATAATGAATATTGAAGGTTTATTAAATTCACCAGCTTCTAGTGCTGGAGTCAAAAGAATTGTTTTAACTTTTGGTCTTGTTCATTCTAAGTTAATAAACCAATTGGGGGTAGAAAATGCAGCAAAGCTTGTATTTATGCATATATATATATATATATATATATATATATATATATATATATATATATATATATATATATATATATATATATATATATATATATATATATATATATATATATATATATATATATATATATATGGAACATTAAACAATGATATATTGAATAACTTTGATGAAATATAACAGTAATATTGATAAAGAATATAGTTTACTCCTATAAAATACATTATGTTTTTTTTAATTTAAAAGAATAACTAAGTACCGCATTTTTTAGTAAAAACTTAATTTAAACCAAAAAAACCATGGTTTTTTAGTTTTTTTTAAAAAAATTTATGGTTTTTGGTTTTTTTCAAAAAAAATGGTTTTTTTGCAACCCTGCCATAAAGTCAGTCGGTTGCCTGTTAATATTTTTCAAACTCAAAAGGCACTATAAAACTGTACGTAGGGCTTTCCCGGAATTTTAAAATTAATGAAGGCTCTAGGAACTCTTACTTAAACAAGTTGCTTATCTATGTTAGTAACTTATGTGACAAAAATATACAATTTTTATGTAAAAAATGTTTTATTTCATTTGATTGTCAATCAATCTTGTCTTGTCCAATGTATTTCAATTATTTTGGCTTTCAATTATATTATCTTTCAATTATCTTGCCAATAGGCCAAAAAATTAAAAATTTTTGATCAATTTTTTTTTCACGGACGATGATAAAAGATTTCAAAACCAACTCAATGATACTTGTGGTGCTACAATTCTACGCACACACATACACAAACACACCCACACCCACACCTACATCCCCCCACACACACACACACATATATATATATATATATATATATATATATATATATATATATATATATATATATATATATATATAATTACTATTAATACCTAGGTACAACATCTGAATCGCATCTTCAAGAAACAGACGAGAAGTTTTTATTTGTAAACAAGAAAGAAATGTTAGCAGATATAAATCAACATAAATATTTGAATTACTTTCAAAGTAAAGGTTATTTATATGGAATCACATTGGACTCTATCCACCGTATTATATCTGATGGTCTGATTCCGATACTTGATGTTGAAATTCCTGTAAGTTTACTACTCTTAAAAAACCACTTTATAATACTAAATAAGTTTTTGATAAAAGTAGTTTGGTAACTACTCCTTATTTTAAACCAATACTTTTCTTTAAAGATTTTGAGTTGGAGATTTTGGCTTGAGTAATTTAAGTTTGAAAAATTTAAGTTGAGAATTTAAAGTTGAACATTAGAGGTTGCTAACTTTAATTTTATAATATAAAGCTTGAAATTTTTTTAAAGCTTTTGAAATATTTAGGTATTGAAGTTACTTAGGTGTAAGGAATTTTCTCCATGCGTTATTTTTGTATCGTTTCTTGAATTTTACTCTACAAGTGGAGATGTAGTATTGGTGAGGTTTTTTGAATTTATTTTTATTTTTTTTTTCTAATTTAAAAATAGTTTAGGTTGGTTGAGAGGTTTTATTTTATATAGTTTAATTGTTTTTTTATCCAATAATTAAGTCTTTTGTACTATTATTTGATAGGGTTCTGATATTCAACAGTTGGCTGCAGAGAGTGCAGATATGCTTAAACGTTATCGCCATTTATTTGATCACATTGTTATATATAGTTCAACAGAAAAAACTGTTGACCAAATTATGAACTTTATAGCCTTAAAGCAAAAATCCCCTGATTGGATACCAGTTGGCTGGTTGTATTAAACTTTTCGATTTGATGTAAGCTCTCAGTACAAGATTCGTACAAGGTATTGATACAAGTTATCGGTTCAAGATTCGACGCAAGTTAGTTGATCGTATTAAAACTGTTTGAATACTTGATTAGTTAATACTATTTATTGGGTTAATTTAATTATTCCCGTTTTTAGCATAGATAAATTTTTATGTACGTTAAACGTTAATTTGTAAAAATGTTTTATATGCTCTCGGTCAACTTATTAATTTTTGATTAAAATTTGTAGCTGTAATCGATTAATAATAAATAAAACAAAGATAAATCATTAAACATTCAGTTTTAAATTTTTATTATTTTCACAAAATAAAAAAAACATGTTTGTGAGTATAATTTAGATTAGTTTATTATTAATGGGTTTAGAATTTAAAGATTATAACTGTATATATGTGGGTGTATATATATATATATATATATATTTATATATATATATATATATATATATATATATATATATATATATATATATATATATATATATATATATATATATATATATATATATATATATATATATATATATATATATATATATATATATATATATATATATATATATATATATATATATATAATAGCATAAAATACAATAATGTTTACTTAAAAAAGATGTAAAAAAAGAAATAAAATTATCACAAAAATACCTATATAAAAAATCGTTAAGAAGATATTATACATCACTAGTCAATTCTAGGTTGTTTAGGTTGAGAATTTGATTACTTAAAAAAAAAATTTATTACAAAGTGTTCAGGACTATTATACAGACAATATTAAGAAAAGAACAAATTATTTGGTGTATGTCCTGATGAGAAAATCAATTTTTAAAGGGATCAGGGCAAATTTTTTCCTCTCCCCGTGCCCCCCTTTATTCATTTAAAAAAAAAATTATGCCATCAGAAAAATCAAGCATCAGTTACAAATTCAAAAATTCAATAAAAAATATCTTGGCGTTCAAAAGATATAACCATTTAAAGTAAAACTAGTCAAAGTGTTACTAAATTTATTATGTATGTATGTATATGCTTTAGTTAAAAATCTAACATATTTATTATTTATTTGCATTAAAACTAGCATAACTTATATAGTTAACATGCCAAACAAGGGATTGTTTCTCTTCAAGAAAACTTATTTGTGTTTGCTGTGGTGATAAGAACTTAAAATGCACTGAACTGGTAAGTGGAAATTCTTTACTAGTCTTGATTCAACTGTATGCCAACACTAACTATAATCTAATACTCCTTTCCAACCCTATTGGGTTATGTCCAAGTTGCAAGATTTATTTGTACTTAGCTAAAAAAGGAGAAACTTTATCACTAGTTACTTTAGAGAGGAGGTTACTCACAGAGAGAATAAAATTACTTCCAAGATTTAAAGGTAATACTTTTACTTATACTTACTTATGTATTTAATAAAAGCTATAGATAATATGAATAAACATTTGTTTATATATATAAATATAGGTGAGACAGTGTCAACATGTGATTGCCTGCTCTGTATCATGTCAAGAGATAAATCCAATTCTATAAACCTTCCGGTAATTTATAAAGAACTCATATATGTAGCTCAATTATTTACGTTTAAAACATTTATAAAATTATAACTTTTATTATAGTTTAAATAAGTATAATTAAATAAGTATAGTTTTTTTTTATTTAGGATGTGTTAAACATGTACATTAATGACCCTAAAGTACCAAAGAAGGTTATAGATAAAATTTGTTGTACTTGTTATCAGAGAATTGGATCTGGAATTCAACATCCCTGTAATAAGAGAGACATTGTACAGAACCTAAAAACACTGCTAATATCAACAGGTAAGAGCTTAATTATAGTTTTTTTAAACCTAAATTTTTACGTAATCCTAAAACATATTTACAAATTTTCAGGTTTAAAAACAGTTGAGCAAGTACTTAGCAAATCTCTAAAATAAATTCAACAATTTAAAAGTATTGAGTTAGACCACACTGTTAAATTGTCGACTGGTGGAACTCCCTTAAGTCTGCAGATAGGGAAAAAGCCAACCCTTAAAACTATCTCTACCCAAACTTTCTATAATATCAAAAGAAAGCATGAGATGTCAGACTGTACTATTGATTTAATAGTAATGGAATTAAGAAAAGATTTGGGTAGATTAAGTGTGGAATCTAATTCTTCCAAAAAAATTAAGATAATGTCACATACCTTAGATAACTATTATTCAGTGGAAAAAGTGGAATTTTTATCCAAAAATAAAGTTAAAGAAAATAAAACTATTGAAACTGTCATTAAAGATCTAGTGTATGTCAAAGATCCAGTATCTCTAGTTAATCATGTTTGCATTGCTAGGGGACTAGAAATCGAGAATGTTATTATTCGTGTAGGAATAGATAGTGGCCAAGGATCTTTAAAAGTTATTATGAATGTTTTTAACAGAGAAGTAAATTATGACTCCAAAGAAACCAAGAGTACTGGAGTGAACTAAGTTATAATATTGGCTTTTGCCAAAAATGTTTGCGAAAACCACACAAATCTTCAAATTCTTATAGAAAAAACAAAGCTAAGCAATTTAAAGTTTTACCTTGCTGCAGATATTAAATTATGCAACATAGTTTTGTCAGGACATGGGGGAAAATATTCATTTTTATTTTGTGATGATGATAAAACTAATCTTGGAGAACTGAGAACCTTTAATATGCTTAAGAACATGTATAAAAACTTTGCTGAAAGTGAATTTAAAAAAAGCTCTATGCAACTCTATAAGAATGTTATACATCCATGTCTCCTGGTTGAGTCTGGAGAGATGTATGTGCTTGATGTCATCCCTCCTCCAGAACTTCATTTAATGATGAAGATTATAACAGAAATTTCAAATGTCTTCTGTAAGGAACCTGATGTTGCTCTCTGGTTAAAAAAACATGGAGTTATTTGGCATGGGTATAATGGAGGTGGACTTGATGGTAGAAATGCTAACAAAATACGGAAGCTTTTGCCAGATTTGGAAAAATTTATCTTAGATAACTTTTCTTCTTACCATCAAGTTGTTGAACTGTTAAAGTCTTTTTCTTCAGATAAATTTAAAGTTTACTTAATTTTACAAAGTATTTATATATTAAAAGTTAATTATGATTTAAAAAGAAATATTTATTGAATCAAAAGCAATGTCTCACAATTGACACTAAAATTTACATTTAGTAGTTAACATTTGTTTTAGAATGAAACTCCATGACGGTTATGCTGATGCTATTGCAACATATATAAGAAAGTTAAAGGTAATAGTTACATAAATGCATAAACAACTCATACATTTAAAAATAAAGTTTTAATTTTTGTTTATATTAAGTGCCATCTTTTAAATTAATAATTTAGGAAAACCAAGAGTATGCGAAGACTACATTCAACCACAATCTTTCTATGGGATGGAAAGGTCATATAATTGAACACCATCTTGTCATGTTTTTAAATAGAACTAAGCTGCCATTGGAAGTATTTTCTGAGCAATGTTCTGAATCTGTTCATCATAATATGTTGAAAACACTGAGCAGATTCTCAACTTCAGAATTCAGAGAAAACCATGGAGAGCTTCTTAGAAAGGCAATAGTTGAATATTCAAGTCATAGAATTTTGGTTGTTTCTTTGCTATTGATTACATAATTATTCTTATCTTGTATATTATATTATATAGTTTTGAAGAATACATTATATCAGTATATATTATGGGTTATATTATACTGTTTCAGAGTGTATATATATATATATATATATATATATATATATATATATATATATATATATATATATATATATATATATATATATATATATATATATATATATATATATATATATATATATATATATATATATATATATATAAATATATATATATATATATATATATATATATATATATATATATATATATATATATATATATATATATATATATATATATATATATATCAGATGATTTTACATTTTTCCATAAAATAAAATATAATTTTATTATGTTATACAATGTTATACAATAATAATGCAGATTAGGTTTTATTATATCATGAGTATTACACTATATTTTAATGTAAAGTAAACTTAATTTTTTGTAGTTTTACTTTAAATGGTTATATCTTTTAAACGCCGAATATTTTTTATTGAATTTTTGAATATGTAACTGAAGCTTGATTTTTCTAAAGCTGGCATAATTTTTTTTTTTAATAAATAAAGGGGGGCGAGGGGAGAGGAAAAAAATTGCCCTGATCCCCTTTAAAAATTGATTTTCTCATCAGGACATACACCAAATAATTTGTTCTTTTCATAATATTGTCTGTATAATAGTCCTGAACACTTTGTAATAAATTTTTTTTTTAAGTAATCAAATTTTCAACCTAAACGACCTAGAATTGACTAGTGATAGATGAATTGACATAAGGCTAAAACTATTTTGATAATTCAATGATTTTTTAAAAAGAGGTCTTCAGCTATTTGATGCAATTTAAACACCCTTGTTCTAGTTCAAAAGCGATGAGTATCTCTTGAGTCGTTTGTACCTAACTTATCTCAAGGGATTCTCTAATTTTTCTTTCAAGGTAGTTTGAATTAATTGCGATTGTTTTGGGGTGCATCCAATTAAATATACCGTGGCAAACCTTGCAGATTTCTGTGGCATCAAAAATATGTCAATTACTTTTCATGATGTTTACCTGATGCTCAATACTTCTTTGTAAATTTTTCTTAATAATTTTTTATTTTTTTGTCACTACCCCCTTCCACCTTTCTCCTCTAAGTTTCTTGTAAAGATCAAATAAGTAATTTTTACAAAAGAATCACAATCATCTATTTCTTTTTCAAAAAAGTGCCAAAAGATGCGGCTAAATCTTAAACTAAATTTTACTAAAGCAAACTTAGGATCAATAAATGCTAAAATCATCATGTATACAGTTATATCAGTTTTCCAAAATTTTCAAATGTATCAGATTTCCAGCTCCGCTGAAGGTAAAATACTCTATTAATTTTCAAATTTTTTTTTCATGTTTCTGCCCTACTTTCACATCTACATTTTTTTTTCATAGCATTTGATATTCTCACAGATTTATATTGTATAATGTTCTACTAATGTATATTTGATTAATTCAATTTATTTCCATAAATGTATATTTCTGGGAAAATATAAAAAGTAATTTTATATAAGTTGGTCGGAACATCACCCATAAAATTTCTTTTGAATTACACTTTAGATCAAAAATCTCATTTTAAAGCGTTCTAAGCTGAATAAAATCGATTTTTGTGCGTTGTTTTATAACTACAAATGAATCTACCATGATGTTACCAGAGATGTATATTTGGTCTCGAGACCAAAGTCTTGGTCTCGAGACGCCTCGAGACTTAAATTTAACTGTCTTGGTCTTGGTCTTCGTGTTGAAGTCTAAAGCCTTGGTCTTAGTCTTGGCCTTGAAGGCCTAGAGTATTGGTCATGGTCTGTGAAATTGAAGCAGCATAATGAGTAGAGTGAGGCTTGACTTGGAATTATTGAGAGGGAATAAAAGATTCCTTGCCAGCCTGAATCCAAGAAGTTACATAAGTCGCACATTTGTCTGCAGTAAGACGAAAGATTTCTACCTAAAGGCCGTCACAAAAAAATATCACGGAATGAGTTCCACTCAGCTTTAAAGTAGTTGTAAGAGGTATGATGATAGGGGGATTCTAATGATGAAGAAGAACAAGATAAAATTTTTAAAGAGATCAAACCGTGATTAGAAGCACCTAAGGGTAAATGTGAAGAAACTGAACACTGACTAGGATCAGAAACAAGAATGTGAAGAAACTGACTAGGATCAGAAAATCGAGTAGAGAAAGTGAATGATTCTAATTGTTTGGAAAGCATATTGGAAAGTTGAACATTTGTGTTAGAGATTAGGAAAGTCAAAAGTTGTGGACCTTAACACCTGCAGAGTTACTGACATTAGAACCAAGCTATTCAATGTGATGATCAATAAATTCACCAACAACAATGGTATTGCCTGAAGGATAAAGAGAGGGCTTGGTTAATTTGATCACAAATAACATCAAAAAAAGTGCAGTCTTGAAATGAAGGGGAGAAACATAGAACATAGTGAAAGGTAATAAAGTAAAGTGGAGCTAAGCAAGAGCGCATAAAAGAATAGTCTTTGGATTCAAACCTAGTTTCCCGAAAAATGAGTAAACTCTTACGAATCTAAATGCCCAGGCCAAGCATGTAACTACTGGAGTCTTTTTCGAATTAAAGGAAGATACCCAACAACACTATCTAATTTGAGTTCAGTAGTCTCACCACAAGATGAGACAGCTGAACTAAAATTCGTCGCACCAAGAGCCCATAGGTCTGGTGAACTTTGTAAGAGATAAGACTTATCAGAAGAAAATTGACTGCTAGTATTCTAATATTTTACAGCTGTTGATAGAATTGGTCTCTCTGAGAGCTACGACAAAGTTAGGGAAACCTGACAACCAGCCGGCCTCAAAACCATCAAACTGAGTTCTAGAGCTGTACCCTCATTAAGAGATAATAAAATAAGTTGTCTAGTCATAAAGACACAAGCAAAACCAATGCAATTAGTTTAGAAGATCAAACATTTAACATTCTAAACTGGAAACAATGTATTATAAATACATTTACGCCAGCCTAATAAATAAAGAAGGGATGCAAAGCTAGTAAACAGATAGAACCTGTTTACCCCTTAAATGTGTAAGCATGAGTTTTATTGTGTTGGACTTCTTAGAACTGTCTTGATCCCAGTTTTATTGTGTTGGACTTCTTAGAAAAGTCTTGATCCCGGTCTTGTAACTTTCAAAGTCTTGGTCTTGGGTTGATTTTTTGATGTCTTGGTTTTGGTCTTGAAGCATTCAGACTTGGTCTTGGTCTTTGTATTGAGCAAAATGTCTTAGTCTTAGTCTTAGTCTTGGTCTTGACTTTTCCTGTCGTGACTACATCTTTGGATGTTACTAAACTAAAACAGGAACATTTTCCAGTGGATTGAAGCTGGTTCTTCAGCTCCGAAATAGGTGGTGTAAAATTTTCATTTTATACTGTAAGTGTATACGGCTGTTGGTAGCGAAAGTTTTCTTTTTATACCGTAAGTATTTACGTTTGTTATAAGCCTGAGTTTTTTTTTATACGGTAATACTTATAAATTATATTTCGGAAATAAAATCAAAAGAACTTTTTGAAAAATTTTTCATAAACTATTTGTCAGTAATTTTATGTAACTTATTAATTTCATTTTATTAAAATGTAACTTATTAATTTCATTAACAAGTTGACAAAGTGCATTTACGATTATATCGCTTTTTGTTATGTTTAGTAAAGTGACTTTTATTAATTACTAAGTAAAATAAGTTACTAAATTTTACTAATCTTGGAGAGTTATTAGCGATATTTTTGGTTCAGTAAGGCCCATCAAGACTGTAATCAAAACAAATCTATTACTTATTGTACTCTTTTGCAAATTTTTATACAACTTATATGCTTACAAAAAATAAAATAGCTTGATGAAATAACTATAAAAATTTATTTTTATAAAAAGTAATAAATATACCAAAACTATCATAACTTTTTCCTAAGAACTAAAGTACTTAAGGTGGCTACCCACTAAATAAAGTCTAAAAAAAAAAAATCTATATTTTTGAAGTTTTAACCTTTATAAATAATAAAAATAAATAACAATGAAAGAAAAGTTTATAAATTTGCCCTAATTTTGTTCCTTAAAATAGGGCAAACATCCAAAAGTTCTTTAGCAACGCCCTTAGCAACAGTTAAAACTTCTTTTCTCCAGAACTAATAGGCAGTTTTTCTCCAAAATTTTACTATACCTTAACCAGGTTGTTATCTACACTGTAAAGTTTTTCCTGAGCTAAATGCCAGCTGCCAAAAACACTAAATAAGACCGTATTTGTATTAGTAACATAATTTGTTTTTGAAAAAATCTTGTTTGTTAACCAGAGTTATTAAGCATTTATGTTGATAATGTTATTGTAATATGGGATCTGAAAACAGATATAAAAAAGCTAGAGCTAAAAAAAGACGTTTTTATAAAAGTAAATCTTTAGACATCAACATTACTCCAGATGATTCACCAACAGTTGCACATACTATGATAGTAGGTACGTGCGCATCTGGCTATTTACGGCACCGATTTATAAGTAAAAAACTGTGACCGTTTTTTTCACAGCGTGCTCGAAGTCGGTGTGGTAAGGATGTATTTATTAGTCTTTTTTTTTAGAATTTTATATCAGCTTAGACTTTTTTTGAAAAGTAGAATGTTTTATGTTGTATAAATTATGTTTTTTTACCAAAAGTATTAAGTTTTTCAGTGATTTTATTGCTCTTTAAAATTTTGTTCGTGTTCTGGAAGTGCATTGATATTGAAGGCATGTTGCTACACATTTAAAATTTTCCAGTCAGCTGTGTAAATCTATTTTCTATGTTCCTGCCAAATTTCATTAAAAAATATTTATGCGCAGACACCCTATTTTGCCACCTAGTGGAGGTACATTTTCCACCTTTTTTACAACTACTGTTACTGTTACACTTTATTAAACTGTTTCTGTTAATGTTACTGTTACTTCTTGATATAAATTCCGTTTTTTTTTTACATTTACAAGTGATTTTTATTAGATTTTCAAATTTCGTTTCTGTTCTGGAGGTACATTAATATTGAAGGCATGGTACACTTTTAAAATTTTCCAGTAAGCAGTACAAATCTATTTTCTATGTGCCTGCCAAATTTCATTAAAAAATATTCATGCGCAGACACCCTATTTTTCTGTACAGTTGAGGTATGTATTTCCACGGGGAAAGATGGGGGGGGGGCCGTAATTTGATGGTGAGCATTTGGTATATTAGATTGTTTATTCATAATAATGAGATATATAGATAGCTTTCATTAAAAAGGTAGACAATTTTTTTTTCAATAGCCTTTTATTAGTAATAAATGGCTATTGAAAAAAATTATTGAAAAAAAAAAGTTGTTAGTAATAATATTACTAACACTATTGATGATTTCACACACCAAAATTAGTTTCAAGGCTAAATTCTGTTAAATCTAATTTCAAATGCTGGAATAAAAATTATGACACTTTTTTATGGTGATTCAGAATAAAATGCGAAATAATGATAACAAACAAAAACAGCATTTTCTCAATTTTTTTCTGTACCCATAATTTACCATATAACCACCAACCAGCATTATTTATGATATATAAAAATTATATATATCTATAATTTTTTATTGACTAAAGGCAATTTATTAGTTAGTTAATTGTGATTGATTGCTGACCCAATTAAATAGTAATTAAATATTAGTAACGATTAAATTACAATTAAAGTAGTGTTATGATCGTTGAATTTAATTTAGTGCATCATGGGACCTAAAAAGAAAACAAATCTATTTTATGGTAAAGCTAAATCTTATTTAGTTTGTAATTTTTTTGTAAAAGGTTTTTCACGAAATTCAAAACAATTTATTGACATCTGCAACATGCTCTTTGAATACCAACCAACAACATCTGCTGTGACTCAAACATCACAGTTAATCACAACCTCTAATCACATAGCTATGTGTTCTTCATTTTTTTCTCAGCAAATCGCTGTTTCGTCTCTATCAAATAGTGACTCTTCTCAAGAATTTTTATCCAGGTTGAGAGCTGACCAGGTTAGTCCCAGGAAAATGATTATGAGAAAGAGATTAACCATTTTGGAAAACGAAATCGCAATTAAAAAGAGAAAACATAAAGAAGATCTTAAAGGTTTAAGAGAAAAGGCAAAGGCTAGACCATACAGATTAAAATATCTAAATCAAGTTATTGCTCGTAAGGAAAAGATAATTCATCAACTTGGAAAAAAATTAAAAGAACATTTTTTTAAATATACAGTTAAAAAAACTTCAAAATCAAATTTTTTATATGAAACTTTCTTCGAAACTTCGTGCTTGCAAAAATAAAACAACTGCTCTGCTTTGTAAAAAGCCAACTGATATTCAAAACAAGTTGATATTATGGGCTCTCTAAAGCCAGGAAAAATCAATTTACAAGTATGCAATGTCATAATGAACTGAAGTTAGAACTGCTAAAATATGGATGGCGGATAAAATTCAGAAAAGGGAGGACAGAAAGGTAGAAAAAATGTTAAAAAGTTGCATGCCCGATCAGGTAAAAGAAATGTTTCCTGACCTAGAAAATAACATGCCTCAGATATTGAAGAAATTCTTATTGGAGCTGCTATTGGAAGAAGTATTTGCCACATGTGGTTCGATAATGCCAATAACACCAATGAGGTATATTACGGCAGAATTGTTAGCATTAAAAAGAAGAACAATGATATATATATATATCGTTTCTTATTGGAAACCAAAAGAAAATGAAGATGATGACGGTGTTGAGTATGATATGAGCAAATATCAACTTTCTGCAGACATAATAAGCGGTGATATGGTGATAACATAACAGAATTGTGTAATAATAAGGTATATGTTATTTTAAGTATTAGTATGTCTTATAAACTTGCATTAACAGATATTATTTACAGATAGTAGGTGAATTTCTTTTTTTTTTTAAGAATAAATTTTACTATGCCTAATAAATATCTAATTCCTTCCTTTTTTTGTAGTATTATGAAAAGATTTATAATTTTTTAATTTGTTTTTATATATACATATATTTATATAGAAGTTTAATTTTAGGTAGTCGGGTAATTACCGACATCTAACAACCAGGGTTGACCTGGTTGCAACGTGTTATGGGAAACCAAAGCTCATTTACTTTTTGACATAAGCAAATTGCTTGGCTTATGACAATTAATGTTTATCATTGATGTTTATCATTATCAATGATGGCAATGCATTTTTCTATCAAGTATAACAGAGTTTCGCTTGCGTGGATTGAGAGATGTTAGTGTTCCATTACAATAAATCCCTTTAAAATTAAATTTTTTATTTATTATTTATTTGCTTGCCATTACCAGAGAGTAATGACCAGATAACCTTTTCTTCATTATAATTTTTAATCAAATCTTTTATATTTCAGGTTAAACAGTATTGAAGGGTCGGCTATCGATTTTTTTGTTTGGTAATGGGAAGTTTGTTGTGTATCAGGAGTTAAGTGATTTTGAATTTTTTAACTTAATAAATCATTCTCATATTTAGTAATCTCTAATGGGTTTTTCAGTTATGGGGCTAAATATCTAATGCATTTTCATTTATTTTTTATTGCAAGGTTTTAACAATAATGGCAATTTGCTACTGTGGATATTTATGTTAAAGACCTCAAGATTATATTTATTAATTCAGTAATTACTGTTAAATGTTAATTCATTATACATTAGTTAATTGTTAGCCTTAATTTTTATTTTTTTTTTAATTTTATATCTGATATATTTTTTCTTATTGCAAGGTTAAACAACATGATGAAAACTACGTGGTTGCTTCAGTGGATGTTGATCTTTTTCATATCAAGATTAAACCGGTTAGATCATATTTATTTAGAGGTTTATTGTGTTTATTAATGCAGTAATAACAGTTATATATTATTTACTATCCGGGACATAGGGCATCCTTATTAAATAGGTATTGCGATATTAGTTTTGAGAAATTTTTACTTTATTTTAGATATTATTGGATGTGGTTTCCTTTGCGTACTAAAGAATCGACTCTTTCTATCTATGGATGTCAAAGTTTTGTTTGCTTCAAAATCTAGGCTTTTTTCAAAGCCACAATTCTGTTAAAAACATTACTGAGCAAAAATGAAATTTTTTTGTTAAAGAAGTGTGTTTTAAAATAGTTTTAGTTTTTACGGTTTGTTGGAATTTATATATAATTAGATATATGGGGCTATGAAAGGGAAAAGGAAGGGGAGCAGTGTTGGACATCCCCCCACCCACCCCACCCATTTGTTTAGTTGGATATTTTTTTAGTAGGTTTTTAGTTAAACTATATGGTGTAACTGACACGGCTTTTAAAGTGGGGAGGGGGGCCAACTCCCTAATTTCAAAAAAACAACCTACATTTCTAAAAAAAAGGTCCTCAAAGCAATTAGTGGGGGGAGGAGGCATAGCCCCCTATGGTGTCGACGGCCATGAAAGAGGGAGGTGAGACCCCTTCCGTGAATGAATTTTTTGTTAATTTAGTTGGCAAAATATATCTTTATATCTATATATATCTTTCATTGAAAAAGATAAAAATAAGCATAAATAGAGAGCGAAAACGCTAAGGCTTTAAATGTCTTTAAAGTTCATCTATACGCTATAGAAAACCTAGCCTTGGTACATATTTAATAACATAAATATATATAACCTTAACCATTATTATGTATAAATGTGTGTGTATATATATATACAATATATATATATATATATATATATATATATATATATATATATATATATATATATATATATATATATATATATATATATATATATATATATATATATATATATATATATATATATATATATATATATATATATATATATATTGTAAATATCGTTAAAATACACGATATTTTATTTTAAATTTTGTTATAGATTTTAATATTAGGTTTTTATCATTAAAAATATTTTTGTTATAAATTGTTAAAAAATTTTTGTTATATAAAAAACTTTTTTAAAAATGTTATTAACTCGTTTTGCACATTTCACTAAGCAAAATCATGCGCAAATTGACAATAACGTTCTACAAAGCTACCGTTAGCCGAACGCGAGTTTTTTACGATGGTTGCATTTTTCCTAAGCAACCCTTCATAAAAATAATGTTACTTAAATAAGCATAACTTTTTTTGTAATTGTTCGTTTTTCATAAAATTTTCACCATTTTAATATAAATTCAAAGCTCTTTCGAACCATATATAATACTTAAATGAGTAAATAGTTTAAAATTTTTACACACGTACCTACACATACATCAGCTTCTTCTAACAAAATCGATTTGTCTTTTTTGGAAGTAAAAAACACAACTCAAAAGGAAGCCTGTAATTATAACTTTAATTTAATTGTGAATTCAAATTCGCTAATTAATTTACTTAGCATGATTGGTCGGTGCCCAAATTGCACAGCTTAAATTAAAGTTTTTCATGACATGGAAAACAAAAAAGGACTTGCTCACATTTTCCTTCTCTCGTGCAACGAATGTGATTGGAATACAAATTTTTTAACTTCTAAACCAATTATAGAGGATCATGGAATAAATGGTCGTAAATCCTATGAAGTAAATTACTTGGTAATAATGGCTTTTCGTGAGATAGGTTGTGGTTATACTGCTATGAAAAGGTTTTGTTCTATTATGAATATGCCTCCACCAATGAATTCGAAGCCATTTGAAACTGCAAACAAGAACTTACAGAATTCATATGTTGAGGTAGCAGAAAACTCAATGAGAAATGCAGCAATTGAAATCAGAAAAGATGTGCTCAATGATACCTACCATAAAGATGCAGTTGTCAACGTATCTGCAAGTACAGATGGATCATGGCAACGTCGTGGGTATACATCTCTAAATGGTGTAGTCACCCTCATATCTAACGGAAAGTGTGTTGACATTGAAGTTCTTTCCAAAATGTGTAAGTCTTGCAGTTTTTGGGAAAAAAAACAAGATTCAGTTGACTACAAATTGTGGAAACTTAGCCACAACTGTAAAATCAACCATGTAGGCAGCTCTGGCGCTATGGAAGTAGAAGGTGCAATAAAGATTTTTGGTCGTTCAGTAATTAATCGAAATTTACGATACACTACTTACATTGGTGATGGTGATACCAAGTCATACCAAAGAGTTGTTGCATCAGATCCTTATCCAGGCTTTGAAATAAAAAAAGCAGAATGTGAAGGCCATGTACAAAAGCAATGTGGTGCACGGTTAAGAACTTTGCGAATAAACTATCGAGGTAAACTGTTATCAGATGGTAAACCTTTGTCTGGTAAAGGCCGCCTTACTGACAAAGTAATTAATAGGCTACAGAATTATTATGGTTTGGCAATACGCCAAAACACAGATAGCCTTTACCAAATGAAAAAAGCAGTTGGTGCTATATTTAATTGTTGTGAAAATGATAACTCAAAGAAACGTCATGAACTCTGTCCGATAGGAGCCAAATCTTGGTGCAAATATAACTCTGACCTAGTCACAGGCAAAAATACTTATAAGTCCAATATAAATATTCTTCAAGCAGTTGCAAATATCCTTAAACCAATCTTTTCATACCAGGATCTTGCAAACGAAAAGCTGCTGGCAAAATGTTTGCACGGTAAAACTCAAAATGTTAATGAATCTTTGAATGGCATTATATGGACCAAATGTTCGAAAAGAGTTCTTACAGGAAAAGATTCTTTAGAGATGGCTGCAGCATCTGCTGTCATTTGCTTCAATGAAGGTTCCCAGGGACTACTCCCTATATATTCCAAGATTGGTATTGTACCAGGAAAGTATACTTTGAAAGGACTTCTAAATATTGATGTTAAACGCGTTAGGGAGATGAACAAAAAGTCAGCAGAGCCAGTCAAAAAACGAAGAAAAAAACTAAGATCAATTAAAAAAGGCTACAATGATAACACAACAGAAAATGAGGGCGAATGCTATGCTTCTGGTTCTTTTACTTGAACTGTTTATTGTTTTTTTGTGTTTATTATATTTGTTTTTTGCGTTTTTCTCCATTTACAAATTTTCTACTTTCTAACAAAGATATCTTTAGTTTGAAATAATATCTTAAGTTGAAATTTTTTACAGAGTCAAAATCTAGTTAGATGAATGTGCTGAGTCAAAAATATTTGTACTATAGTATCCCATTCAAATTAAAATTTGGGTAAATCGGGCCATTTTTTACTTTTTTTTAGGAATTTATAATAAATTGTGAATTTCAGAGTTTTAAATAAAAATATAAATTTTATTTTTGACTCAGCACACAGTTCATATGGTAATCAATGTTTTTGAAAAGTTTCACTTGGTTTGGAAAACTCTGCATTTAGTTATCCTTGTTAGAAAACATGCTGCTTTTGAATTAATTATGCGCATAATAAATGGCGTAATAATAAAAATAAAACTTTTTTGTATTTTTTGTCATATTTAATTCTAATGCAATTGAAATGTTTAAATTTGGAGGGATAAAAGGGTTTCTTTAAAGAATTTTTTTATTTAGTGGGTAGCCACCTTAAGTCACATAGTTAGTGAAATTTAAAGGCAATCTTATTTTTTAGCTAGAATTTCTGATCACTCGTTAAACATCATCTATACCTTCTATAACTTCATGTGCTTTCTCACCGTCAACAGCTATCTTTTCTATCGTTTTGTCTCTAAAATTAAACTCTAATAAAAATATTTTTCATTTTCCCATTACTTTCACTATCTTCGTTATTAATAATTAAAATTTAAGAGTTCTTTTCTTTTATGAATCTTGGTATTTTTTTTGAATGCGTCTTGAACATGTTTTGATTCACCGAACGAGCGTAAACTCTTCAACGCATTAATTTGTTGTGACCTGTTTTGATCCTTACCAATTTTGAATGTTCTTCTCCTTTTGAAATTCTACAGACTTATATTTTCAAAAGCAGGCGTAGATTTAGATTTAGAAATTTTGTGTTCTAGTCTTTGATGTTGAGTTACCAAAATACTGCATGTAACGGACATTTTTGTGCACTTGCGTACGTTTTACTACGCGGCAATTACGCTTCACAATTCCTTTTACTGATGTTCTATATGCATCAATAAAATTTTTATACACACTATTTCTTCCACATATTAAAGCTCATTTGAGCTTAACACTGCTTGTTTGTTCATCAATTCTTTTAAGGATCATGTTCTTTAAATAAATTCAGCATCTATCACTTTATTTTCCAATTTTATTGGTGCTAGATCAATTAAATGACATTGATGATAGTAGCGCACACATTCTTTGATATCTTGCTTTATTCTTTGTGAAATCATACAATAAATGCCAAATATTTGCTTTGGTTGCAATTTACAATATCTAATAACATGCAATATTCAACCCACCTAGTTCTTTTATATGTATTTTACGTTCAAGCTCATTTAACCAGGTCTTTGGAACTGTTAATGCATAGTTCAGTGTATTAAAATCTATGACATTTGCGGACACCATAAAGCTATCCATAATTAATTATCAAGTCTGTGTATTCTTAGAAGTTTTACTTCACAATTAGATTTATCCCACGCACCACAGCGTCTAGTTTAGCAATATTACTATGAATATTATCATTAATGCTTTTTAGCCTGACGCATCTTCAACTATTGCAGTATTTTATTCCAGAACAATACCACGCTACTCCACTATATTGTTCCATTGTGAATTCCTTCAGCTTCCCATGTCCCACTTACAGAACATCTAGACTCTATTCGGCGCAGTATTTCAACTAACCATGACTATGTTTGATTGCCAATAAGATTATTCAAACCATCTCTCTGACGGTAGAGTGTTGTAAAGCAACAGGTAAATCTAAAGCAAACTCTAACACGATAATGTTCTATCAAGTGCCCACGTATTGAAAAAGGTCGCTGCAGAGACTCATCAAAACCGGATCAATATGTATTTGCATTTTGACTCATCCTTCATACCTTTAACAACACTTTTTAAAATAATTACAAACTTTTATAGTTAATTGCCACGTACTTAAAAATATTGCTGTAGCTTCTCTCACTAATTTCACAATCTATCCGTTTACAGTCAATACCTTAAATCTCTTTGATCTAATGTAAAACATTTGTGTTCTGAAAAACATTTTTATATTTTAAACTTTGATATTAGTTTTTGTAAAAAAAACTACACCAGAAAAATCCATATTTTAACAACACGAAAAAAAATAAAATAAAATAAAACTTCAGATAAATAAGTTCTAAATGCATGAAGAGCATGACCTTAAAATTTCTTGTAAAATTCTCATGTTATTCATGACTTGGGATAATGTTTTAAATTTAGGAAGAAAAAATAAAAATCTTAAAACTGGAAATCTCAAAACAGGAAAAATCATATAAAATTTGAAAATCAAAATTTCTTTTAATATACATATTTTAAAAGCCACTAAAACACAAGGAACCTTTTCAATATCTAAATATCATTTGCGATGTTTTTTTCTTAGCTTTTTGCATTTTATTTACGACATTTAAAATTCAACTTTTGTTTTTTATAACGAGTGTTAGAATTGTCCTAATAATTCGATGTTCCAGCATCGTTATATCGAATTGCTGAAGAAGTTATATCAATTTCAAATGTTCTTTTATTTAAATATATATTTTTAGAACAAGGAGTCCGTAAAATTGAATAAGTTCTTCAGTTAAATTTTAGGTCTGACCACAAAAACATTTTCTTACCAATTTATCGTCAAAATATTAGAAAATAGATCTTATTAAACATAAATATTCGTCTTTTGACACATAGAATAATGAATGATTTTATCACTTAAATTTTAGTTGCGTAATAATACTTACTCTGCAGCTTTTTTCATTGCATAAATTTTGTATCTATTATTTTATCATTGATAATAGTGGTTACAAAATCTTTTAGTCAGACGTTAGCGTTTATTAACAATAGCAGTTACAATACCTTTGAGTCAGACAGTTCGTGGAATTAATGGCCGACACATCAAACAAAATTGTACATTAACATAGATTGTATTTGTTCATTAATTTAACAAAAAATGGACAGTCTCAATTCTGTTATCACACATTAAAGAAATGCGAACAAAGTTTATTATTCCTAGTAATGTCAAAGCAATTATACGTATTTGAGTTTAATCTTCGACCATATAAACTGATAGACCCGCCGTAAGTTATATATTTTGAAGCCAACATCTTTTAGCGCGTGACGTCACGTTTGGGCAAAACAAAACGCGATTCAAGCGAAATAAAGCTTTAAGAATAGAAAACTGTTTATTAAATGTAAAATTTTGTAGTTAAACCTTATTACTATTATTATTATTTTTTTAAATATGATTAAATTTATCATTTGTATCAATTATTATTTTTAGATTCCTTAGATAAGAAAACGTAACAGTTAATACAATTTTATGTATTTTATTATCCATTACATAATATACAAAACAACTTTTTATTGATTCGAAAATTAAATTTGCTTTGTTAATACACTTTGTATACGTTTATTATGTAGTAAATTGTTGATCAAGTCAGTTTTGTGGTGCAATCTTATCTTTAAATACTAAGCAATATTAGTTTTATAATTTCTTCACCACTTTCATAAATAAATTACAGACAACGCTTAACAATATTAGATTTTTCACAACCATCTAAACTATTAATTAAAAGTTATACATCAGGAAGTTTCCAACGTCCATTTACACAGTTTACCATAAAAACTAAAGTTTCTTTTGTTTTGGGTTAACTATTATTATTGATATCAGCACAAAAATCAATATAACTAGAAAATTTATGGCCTGTTTATTCAATTTTTTTTTCAAATGGTCATTTCATCTTACATAAATGAACACACAATATGTTGACCAATTTTCTGAGCCTCTTTTATTTTGCTATGAAGAGTAACTAAAGCTTCTTTACAAAATCCAGGGAAACAGTCAACACTTTTATGCCATTTTGTATAATTCCAGGATGAAGAAGTGCATTACTAAATGTTTTCCTAACATAACTATATGCTTTAGCAGAATAAAAATTTAATGTTAAATCAAGGTTGTTAACAAGGCCAAAATTAGCAAGGACATGGCCAAAGCCACATGTTACAAGGCTAAAGCCAAGACCAATGCCAAAAGTTACAAGGTCAAAGCCAAGAATAAAAATATTTTCAAGCCCAAAGACTTGAATTTTTGTCTAACGTTAAGGTCAATTATTAACAAAACTGTAGGTAACAATTCCTGTTACAATAAACCACATGTTGTAAAAATAAACCAGGGTTATGCCCAAAATTCTATGAAGTCAATAAAAAACATACTTGTGGATATGTATGAAGCGGAAAACAAAAATACATAAAAATAAAAAATGAAATCTTTTAATTCTTCAATTTTATGTACTTTTTTTGAAGACCAAGGCCAAGACCAAGACCAACAGTTTTAAGACCAAGGCCTTAAGTCAAGGTCAAAGCCTAGGACTAACAACTTTGTGTTGTAGCAAAGCTTCATAATTCTGGTGGGTAATGCTTTTTAACTTTTCTTGTAAAATCCGACAATATAACTGTTTTGTAGACTCAGACATAGCTCCCTAAAATTAAATAGATTAAATAAATACATTTTTAGTTACAACATCATATTTATACTTGAAAACCCAATCAAGTAAATTAGGGCATCGTTGATTGGGGTATCAAGAAATAGATGAAAATATCACAATAGCATTACAATTATAACAACAATTATTACTGTTACGACAAACACAATAATTAACTTATTGCTATTCTTACCGTAATTGTGATGAATTAAAATTTTCCTTAACTGTTATCTGATGATTAATGTAATATGTTTTTAATCATAAAAACTTATTAATTTAAAACCATATTTTAACAGTAGGTTGACTAAAACAAAATATTTCTAAAGGTATAACTTAATAAGAAATAAGAAACAAATATTTAAAATAATGAAATAGACAAATAAAATAAAATATGTTCAACAACTACTCTTAATAAAAATATATATTATACCATTAGTGTAATTGATACTTTTTCGGAAATCATAGTATGATTCATGATTTTGATTCATCATATGATTTATACTTTTTGATTTAAAATGATGAAGGTATGAATGTAAGTCTTTAATCCTTTTTATTAAACAACAGTTGGATTGCTGAAGCATTTTAATTGTATTTAAATATATTGTTTACCATTGGTGTTAGGATTGATTTGACACTTTTCAACAATGTTTTTAAAACCATAAAGGTATTATTGTCACAAAAAGTAAACTCAAACATTTAAATCAATATTAGATATTGTAAAAGTAAATGTAAAGTATGTCATTGTAATGTGTTTAAATTAGATTTACTGTATTAAATTACTGGTGATATTATTGTTAACATAAATGATATAGTTATCAACATTGTTCCTAAATATATATATATATATATATATATATATATATATATATATATATATATATATATATATATATATATATATATATATATATATATATATATATATATATATATATATATATATATATATATATATATATATATATATATATATATAGTTACGAACAATAATGTTGATAATCATACCATTAATGTTAATGATATCATAGATAATTCAATACAGTAAGTCTAATGCGCATATATATATATATATATATATATATACATATATATATATATATATATATATATATATATATATATATATATATATATATATATATATATATATATAATATATATATATATATATATATATATATATATATATATATATATATATATAGGCACACAATATATATGTTACAAAAACTAAACTTAAAAGTTTTAAATCAATATATGTCATTGCAAAAAGATTAGTTACATTAGACTTACTGTATTTGAATCATTGGTGGTAATATTTGAAATAATTCTTTGTCTATATTTTTTGGTAGTTTTCTAGAATAAATACTTTTTCATATAAGTGTTGGGAAATTAAATATAGAAGAAATTGCATTTTTTTTTAGTTTCTTTTGTGAACTCGAAAGACTTCCTTTATACCAGTGAAATATTTACCACAACGTTTAGACAGTTTACTAGGAGTAAAACCATCACTCCACATAACTTGTATCCATTTTCTCCTCAATTCCATATCTTTTAGAAAACTACCAACAAAAATAAGCATATTAAAATAATATGCTATTTATATTTAAAATATAATGTAGGATTTTAGCAAATAATGATTTGTAGCTACTTACACATGAAAAGAAACCCTTTTAATATATCTTTGAGTGCAATTATATGCAAAACAAGATAACATCATGATCTTTATATATCTATATTCTATTTGAAAATCAAAATTTAAACAAAATAATATACATAACAAATAATAAAACTTTAAAAATGTTAAATACATTCACCCTAAACCGATATTATAAATTGTTTAATGCCCAAACGTGACGTCACGCGCTAAAAGATGTTGGCTTCAAAGTTGTGTGAATATTTACTTGCGGTAAGGCGTGTCTATCAGAGTATATGGTCGAAGAGTTTAATATGCAATTCAAAATAACTCCATTATAGCCGATATTTAAATTGACTAAACAGAGCGCTTTTGCCAAAAAGAAAGACAAATTGTTCAATTAGATTGAAATCAAATTTCTAGTTTTACATGTCCAATTTGACAAATTAAATCTCTATGAATCGTTTCAGATTCAAACGTTCATTCAAAATTATCTGTTGTTGCAAACATAAATAAAAGTATTGAGCTTCTATCTGACGATGTGAAAGAAGTTCATATTTTAAGTGACAATCCAACATGTCTATTTCAAAATAGGTATAATTAATATCAATAAAAATTTTGGAAAAAAAAACAACAACGCAATTAAAATGCACTGACTTTATTTTGCAAGTTTGAGTCAGAAAACGTGTTGCTAGAAAAAAGTATTATTGGAAAAAACTATAATTTCTATCGGTAACGTTTTAAAATTCCAAATCGTTAGCGGTAGAAACTGTTTCCGGAAAGCATATTTTGAAATCCTATACGAGTAATAATCTATATTGGTTTAAAAAATCTAACCTTGTATTATTTCTGTGTATTCAGTCAGTGTGTGTGTCCAGGGTCGGTGCGAGTAGGTGTCACGTGGGAGAGGGGGGGGGGTACCATTACAACTTTTGCCGACTAGAAAAAAAGAACCTCGTTTTTAAAAATTTGCCAACTGCCATGACGACATTCGCCGACTGACTTTCTAAATTTACCGGCTAACTTATCGAAAGAATCTACATTTGCCAACTAACTAGTCAAAAAGGGTCAAATTTGCCGACTAAGGGTCAAGTTTGAAAATTAAATTAAAAACTATTGATGGGGGGGGGGGGGGAAAAGCGGTGTCACACCTCTCTATCGCGTCGGCCTTGTGTGTAGAACAATATTTTTATCTTCAAATAAAATAGTCAGCGTTAATTTTCGGAAAAAAATATCTTTAAACTTGGAAACACGTGGGTATAAGAATTGTTTCAAATCACATGAATTGAGAAACTGTCTACTATTTTGTATTTGAAAGTTAGATTTTTGAAGACTTGCTTCTTTTTATAAGTGAATGAATCAGATTGCGCCATTAAAGTGGCTATTCTGTGCTTATAAAGGGGTTTGTAAAGTCGCATACAGGCTCAGAATAGGCAGAGATATGCGCAATCTGATCGAGTGACTTTGAACGCGCGTATGTTAAAATCAAAACAAATGGCATTAAGCGTATTTTTAAGAAAAATGAAATTGAATAATTGCATAAAAAATCAAATAATGATTACAAAAAACCAATGATTGTTTAGAATTTTTTTAAATTTTATTTTACAATGTGTACTAATTCTTTTAAAAAGCTTCATACTAAAAACTTCTAAGGTTTTCATATACTTTTTTATAAATAAAGATTTTAAAAAAAGAAGACTAAAGAATAAACAAATAATGTTTTTATAATTGTTTTTATAATTGATACCATTGTGACAAACTATAGACCAAACTTAGCTCGAAAAATATTTTTTTTTAAATTACATAATTTATTTTTCAGTACTTAAAACTATTTACTTCCATACTAGCTGGGCGGACTCGTAAAAAAATGGGTATTTGTAAACCTATTCACACCAAACGTTTATATGCATGTTCCTTGTAGATAAATCTTAGCTGTCCGAACCAGTAAAATACGGGTCTTTACTAAAGTGACCATTTCTATAGTTATCTATTACACGGCCATTTTTATACTTATCTATTACGCACCGATCATTTCTAGACTTATTCCTTATTTACTTCAATATTTTTTAGCCAACGGTAAAAAGACAATTCATTAAAGAAAACTGCTTTAAAAGCACCTTTTCCAGATCGTAAAGCATATAAGTGATTTATAAAAATTGTATGTTTTCCCTTACATGTATAATTTCGATAGCTCAGTGGTTTAGTGCCCTGTCAGCGGAGTTGTTTTGCGAAGATATTTTGGCATGTGGGAAACATTGACTCGTGTTAGATTAAATCTAATATCAGAAAGTTAAAATCCTTACCTGACAATGTTGCGCAATTTTGGTAAGAACAAAACATCGAAAATGTAAAAAATTATCTTGTTTTTCTAAAATTAAACCAAACACCAAAAAATCTGTAACGAAAAAATCGAACAAAAAATTACAACGCTGCGGGATTTCGCAGCGTTGTAATTTTTTGTAGCGTTGTAATTATATTGTCCTACAAAAGTACACTTGCCTCTTCTTTACCTCGCCCCTTCCCCTATGATGGGGAGGGGGAGGTCTACAAAAAATTTTTGGTGTTTGGTTTAATTTTAGAAAAACAAGATAATTTTTTACATCTTCGTAATGTTCTGTCTAAACCTCTGGCGCGGTGTTCACTTACCCGCGGTGTTTACTCACCCGTAAGTTACATCATGTATGTTTGTGTTCTATTTAAATCTCTAATGCAGTGTGAGCTCAGTAACTAAATAGTGACTCCAACTATAAAACTTAGGCTCACTCTAATCTCTTGTATTTTGTTTAAAATGTTTGAAAGTTTAAAATGTTTACTTTTTAAATATTTAAGTAGCTCCTATATACTACTCCAGGTCTCATCAAACTGAGGATCATCAGAATTACATTGCTGATGGTATTATGTAACCCTTTAATACCTGACCCATGCCCTGAAGCCTTCTAGGGTGCGCTTTTTTAAGCCGTGCTCTATCTATGAATAAGTCAAATTCTCTTTAAACTTAAATCATACCAAAAGTAACCCGAAATATTAAACATAAAAAGCCATCTCCACAACCTAACTATTTTAATATATCTTTTACAAATAATAAATTTGTAAAATTTCTCAATCTCTTACTCACACTTTAGGCTTCAGAGATTTTGGGAAAATCTACAAAATAGTCTTTAACAAGGTTAGGTTACTATTATCTCTCATTCATTGGACTGATCTTATTACCTCTCTCCCAAGAATACGACAGAACTATTAGCAAAGAACTTTTCTTCTAATTTAACTTTTATTTAAATTCTATTAGTTCCATTCAAGTCAAACAGGTTAACCAATTATTAGACATTTAAATCATCATAGGCGCTGTGCCATCATAGGCACCTTTTCCCTATCTATATTTAACAAACTTCGAAGAATCAAAATTTAAGGAAAAAGTAAAATCAAATGAATAAGAAAAAATAAATAAGCTATAATCATTTGCTTAAAACTTAAAAATTTAATCTAAGATTTAAAAATAAAAAATAAATAAATTAATATACACCATTAGAAATAACATAAGTAAATTAGTATACTTCATAAAAATAACGTAAATAAATTAGCAAACGCCATAGAGGTAATACCATAATTAA